TTGAAGTATACAAAGCAGTGTCGCCCATGCAATGCAATTATATTCATCTCTTTCCAAGACAAATCTTGTGCTAATAAAACAAATGTTGATCTGAAGAAGCAACCACTATCTTTCATAATTATTTTATTGTCATTGATGACAAGGGTAGGATAAAATCAGCAATGGTAGAGGATTCTATTGATCATCCACTGGATTGCGTATCTTGGCTATTGGATGCATCCCCATATAAGCACCATCCACTACATAGAGTTGGCCATCCATAACCATATATGCACACAACTTTCAAGGACACAACATTGATGCCAAAGAACTCCATCGATTCATGTGTAGATCAATATAGAACTTTCTGTCAAGAACTTGACACACAAATTCTCCTATGTACTATAATCATCCACACTTTCTTGGCACTTCTAGGATTGAATGATCAAGACCTCTTTCCCATGTTTGAGAAACATTGTTACCACCAGTACACCTTCAATCAATCCTTATACAGAACAATTGTCATAAAACTTGGCATTGGAGACAAGATTCCTCCACACTCTGTTCATTTTATGCATTTGCCCGTGGGTTGATAATGGCACTCACAAGAGGCACCGGTACCCAGCATCATCATCTAATACAGGAATTAGTGTTGTTGTTGCCATGGTTGAGGGACCTATTTGCCCTGAATTCAAGAGGCAGACTGTTCATCTCATCACCATTGCTGCCCATTACACACTTTATTATGGATCATTCCATGTACTATTAACCTCAAAGAAAAGTTACCTACCTGATCATTGCCCTAGCTTTCTTGACATTGATTTGCTCCTGGCCATGACATACCTTCCTCTTGCTATAGCAATTCTCTAGCATTGCCTACCTCTATTCAATGTATCTCTCACATTCTCCTTGATGCCCATACCCAAGAATCAATAGTGCAAGTTCAACACCTAAAATAGGTTTTCTTTGTCATGTTACTGAATAAAAAAGGGCCATAACATGTATAAAGTTTTTTTTTTTATTTCCTACAACATTCACAGCTCCAATGGTTTTATATTGGACATTTGATTCTTATACAAGGAAAATATGTGGTTGAGGGAGATTAAATTTTATATTAGTTTTTTATTTTATTTTATTTTATTTTATTAGTGAGCTGTATTGGATTGAGTCTTTATAAAGTTTACAACATGTTTGAGATAACTATTTATCATGACACTTATATGAGCTTGGTTTACAAAGGTTATAGCCAATGAAATATAGAGGATTATAATTAAAGTTTGAACCTGCATAAAATTAACCATACCATTTGTTAACCATTTGTTAACTTGCATGGTTATGCTAATGTTATGTTAAATATTCTTGAGCAAGCCTGCCTTAGAGGATACTCATTTTCCACAAGAATTGTATTATATGCTAGATTATGCTATTTCCAGAAATCCTGCCAAGAGAGAAAAAGAAAAATTATCAAAGAATCTGATAATTGACTAACAAAGAGAAAGGTACTGACTACTTGTAGTGAGTTGTCACAGAAACTTGTGATCTAGCAACCCTAGAATGCATGGTCAATAGAGATATCTGAAACAAACCCTACATGCTAAAATGACTGCTATTGGCAATATATTCAATCACACTCATCCAAGGCACAAGTCCCAGCTTTGCTGGGAGTGTCATGTACATTTTTGTTATTTAGTAATTCTGAAAAGTTCATATTCATCTTTATATTTGAAAAGTTCATACTAATCATAACATACATAACAATTCTAATATAAAAACACACATCAGAGATATTTAGCACCTTTAGTGGTTTGGACAAGACTGCCAATTTGGGATATATCATCATTCATCATACAAGTGTAATTAACTTTTATAATGTAGTATCAGAAATTAGATGGAGATATAGAAATATAAGTAGCTTTACATATGACAATTCATTTTCTTGACATGACAAGCCAGTTCCCATGTGTTCTTAACCAAACTCTAGTTAAAAAATCAAATGAGAATATCTATTAGATATCAACTACTATTGTACAAATTATGTGTAGTACTGAACATCCAAGAGCAGCATTAACAACACCGATGCTAAGTGGTGGCAGAATTAGGAATGTCATATAACTTTGGTAAATAACCATAAATCATCATGGTAAATCACCATAGGATAAAGGGTGAAAACCACGTATGCTACAATAATTTCTCATACACAAGATAAATGCTAAATTGGTCAACTCATTATATTGAGAACTAACTTTTTATGTGTCATGAATCTATTATAGAGAATTAATTATCACTATATAAGATCACAGTTACCATTAATAATAATTTTTGTGATTGAGTTACTCTAGAGTAAATATATATTTACAAACACTTCTTGATGCATCATAGTTATTTATAGTTAGATACAGAACTTTTAGCTATAAAAATTTCCAAATATATATTTTCTGGGAGTGTCATGTACATTTCTGTTATTTAGTAATTTCTAAAATTTTATATTCATCTTTATATATAAAATGTTCATATTAATCTTAACATGCATAACAAACTTTTCTGAAACCTTTATCGAAAGGCTAACACTATTAGTCATAGTTTTTAAAAAAATAGTCTACTTTTGTAATAATATGCAAAAAGGAGAAAATTAATGGATGAATCATGAGCTAAAAACCCCACTTTTATTAAATAATTAAATTAATAATTAATTAATCATAAATTATATAGTATTTATTAATACATTATCATTCTTGTCAGAAACTATATAATAGTGCAATAATGATTTGGAAATATTTAATTAATTTAATAATTTTAAATGAAAATAACAAATAATATATTATTATATTCTTTGTTGATAATATTCTACTTAAATATTTTATTTTAATATTATAAATATTCTTTTATGAATAAATATACTTTAAATGATTTTATAATTCTTCACTTTACTTTCTTATTAAATTTTCAAGTTTTAATAGAATTGGGCTTTCAAAGAATTCTTTCTTTATATTTAGTAAATTTTAGTCAAGCTGATATAGAAATATTATATTATCATTTATATTTTGTTACTTTAGTGGTGTTAGTAGTGTTTCAATAACATTTTTGGAATTATTTTAAAAAAGACCAACCGTCTATGGTCAGAGACAATTATACAATTACATGGTTATTTGATCAAAGAAAAGCTAGAATGTTTTATATGGAGTTTCTTATATTCCTGTTTGATATATAAATAGAAATACTATAATTATAAAATGTTTTTGGTTTTCTTATGTAAACAAATTGGGTAGTTGATGTACCTAGATTATACTTAGGTATTTGGGATATTCTACTATCTAATAGTTGTTATTCATTATGATTAGTCTTTTATTTATAATTTTGAAATGTGTTTAGAATTTATAGACTTTCCCAGATACATATTGTATACTCTAGTTTATTCTACCATCTAATAATTGATATACAATAAGATTAATCTTGCAAACTAAGTGTTTCTCTATGTAACACACTGTTATTTCATGTTATATATCTGTGTTTGCCATAACAGTTTTTTAGTAACATAATTATCACAATGAAGGTTGAAACTCATATTCTTTACTGTTCATATATACTTTTTTGATATTTCATAGGGCTTGATCTTCAGAGATGCCAAGTAGCATTGGATACCATTCCATTGCATGTCCCACAACCAGAGCAAAATCACCATAAGACAATAACCAGCCTCAGCCTACTTTGGTCATATTATAGCAATAGATCATGGTGGTTCGATAATAGATCATTGTTCCCAGCAATCTCCTAATGTTTTGCATTACTATAACGTTTATCAGTGGGTTCTGTTAAAGCTAGAAAACAGAGCAAGGACTTAAATCCATTAGCTGTAAATGAATTGTTACCTTCTTTTATAATATTGCAGCTCTAGGCAATGTGATATCTTCAAAATTGGGAAAAATAAAAAAGAACTACATCAAGGGCCTAAAGCTTCCATCTACTGCTCTATACTTCCTTGGAGATTCCCTTCCTTGTATAATTTCCTATGCTCTACTCTAACAGCTAAGAAGACCTCCCCTAGTGAGCACATGTTTCCTTCAGAAGCTCGCTTTTGTTACTGCTGCTCTTACCAAAAGGACAAGAAGAGGTAAAAAAAACAATAAGAGGCCAGGTGAGCAATGAGGCCGTGGTTGTGAAGTGGAGGTGATAGGCTCTGTAGAAGTGGAAGATTGCTTCCTGGGGTTTTCAAGGCTGCAGAACTTAAGCCTCTAGTTGGAGACGTGACTCTGACTTGTGAACTCTCTTGGGTAGGTCAGCTTTATAAATCTGTGAAACAAAGAGCTAAACTTCCACTTTGGATTAACAATAAAACTGGAAAAACAGGAACTTTAATGAACCGGAAAGCATGAGAGTGAGGCACTCACTACTTAGCACGTCGCTTGGATTACCTCGTTGAGCTGGGTGTGAAGATATTTGGAATTCACCAGTGGACATCTTGAGCAGAGGCTGCCAGAGCAATTGTAGTCGGGTCTTTGGCAACTGGAGAGCTCAATCAATCTCTTTGGCTGAAGTTACTCTAGATTATTTTTCAGTGGCTCCTCGATATTGATATCGATAAGATCGTTTGCTGGAAGGATCTCCTCAAGATCTTTGCGGACCAGTGATCGAACAGAGAGGGGTGCTCGGCTGTGATGTGTTACCACCACCACATTCTGCATAAACCCTAGCCTTAACCATTCCATCTCGTGGCCACTCTAGTCTCTGGGACAAAGGATCTAGCTCGCGGCCACTCTGGTCTCCAGGACAAAGGATCCAGCTCCCAATCCGTGGTGGAGTCCATTCCATCCTCTTCTGTGACAACTGCCTAGAGTTAACAACTATTGTATTAAAACCATGCACAACGTGTCTAACAGCCTCACTCTTGTCGAGACCCATTCTGATGAGTGCATCCAACAGCTAATCTGATCCATTGTGGAGGCAACAGCACAAGGAACTCCCGCTGAATAAAGAGCTGCCAGCCATTCTCGTGGGCCAGCACTTGCAAAACAAGTTTCATGACAAACTGTAAACCTTGGATAGCTCTGTATATTTCTGATAGCCAATTCATCAATCCATACTCCGCCCAAGCTAGCTGGGAAAACAAAGTTACATTTCACTCTAACCTCTTCAGACTAACCACCCTTTTCAGGTCATGCTTGGAGGTACTACAAACGATCAATTGCCACTTCTCCTTATCCAGATCATCTCCAATAATTTTTTCTGCAAAAATGGTGAAAACAAAAAATCGATATAAAAAAGAGACCTTCCTCCAACGATGTCCCAGTCTCTGCAGTTCCTGGGACTTTGTCAAGTCGGGAGTGGACTTGTACACGTCCATGGCTGTAACGCTTGAAAGCTGATGCCAGTCGGCACTCATGGCAAGATCTAAAACAAAAGGGACCTCAGCAGTAGTGATCTCGTCCAGGAGGGTGCCAAGAGCTGGTCGAGAGTGATCGGCAGCCTGTTGTCGCGGCCTGGGACTCTTGTGAGCCAGATTGTGCACGATAATTACCAAGTCAAGGCTTTATATGGATCTGCTCTCAACAAACCATTCTTCAGCTGCTCTTCTTCATATGATAGGTCCTATATAGAACCAATTGGTAAACCAATCAAAGCAGAGTAAGGAAGAAATTTTTACCTGAAAGTTAACGCCTACTGAATCTATGTATCCTACACTGCATGAAACGCTTTCATGACACTTGATGTCTGGAAAAAAAATTGTTGATATCAGTGTTCATGCTATGCCACCACAGTGCATAATATGGAGGTCTTTCCAGCACCCTGCCATGCCACTTGATTAGTAACATACGTGATTAATTAAAAAAAGTGATTTACCTCCAAACAAGAAGTCGTACCCATTTTTAGTTTCATAGACACGCTCTTCGTCACAGAGTTAGTGCTACATAGTATAGTAGCTTGACTTAGACCTTCCACAGAAATATTAAGACTCTTCACACCCTCACTGTCCACAAAACCTTTTCTACATGAGTTTTCAAGATTGTAGCACACCTGCACATTACCTGACGGGAATGAGCAACAAGACCTTGAGCAGCTCATCGTCTGAGGAACCAGAGGAGATGACTCAGATGCTGGAGCTGGTTGTCGTTCCAGATTGGTTCTTCACTTCTCTGGAATTTTTTCTGGGCTACGAGAAGAGTGCCTCCATGGTTTATAGTCAGGTATATTGAGTTGCCTCCCATTAATCGATGAGAAGTTCTACTGCTAACCTCTTCCAGAGTTTTGGTGTGGCTCCTTGAGAATCACTGGAGGATAATAACCGGAGGATGCAGCACCGTCTTCTTCTTCTCCTTGCTCTTGGCTGGAGGTGCTAAGAAAAGAAGCATTCATAATTCCAGATTTACCTACCAATCCGTGGAA